TAATAGGCAAATGGGACAATCCCATAAAACAACAAACGGCCACATAATGCAAAACAGTTAAAAATTTAAAACGGAAGAGTAGAGAAAATCCAATCAGAATGAACAAAATAAACTAAATATCTACTGAAAAAAATACAAATATTTTCAGACGGATCCATTTTGGCCTTATATGCCTCATCAGTGCAGGTAGGGTACAGACCCTAACGAAACTTAGCTAGTTCTTGGCTTAGGAGTTTATTGTCATTCGGATCGGATTTTCTCTTCTGTTCCGTTTAATTTTTAAGTTTTAATGTTTAAGTTTTATCCTAATTACATTATAAATACACTCAGTAATAGACATATTTCGTGAAGTTTTTTTACAGCCGGTCATGTGACATTGGGTATTACTACATGGGGATTTTCAGTGCAATCAGTGTTAAAGTATAGGAAAGGGTAATGTTATGGTGGCGAAAACAAGTGCCTGCTTTTAACGTGAGAAATAACTGACAAGGAAAGGAACTACGATTGTTCAAAATAGTGTTTAGGCCTAAGATAGTATAATACATACTCCAAGTATTGAAATGCACGCCATCGTGTCGGGATTCAATATTTCGACATTGATTATGTCATCACCTGGAATGAAAAATGATCCATATTTGTAAGCTTTTGTGCACAAGTACCAAAAGTGTTCGACCAATCAAAACATTACCCATAGTAGCACCCATCAAAGCACTCTTTCTTACTCTACTGATCAAAGCTAACTACAAAAACAAAGAAAGCTCCTTTGAAGCTTTCCGCCCATTCTTAGGCAATGAGTGTAGCCTACGTATAGCAAACGCTTCTTTAAACAAGAGTGTAGACCAATTTTGCGAACTGTCAATAATATTAGTATTAAACAGTATCAAAAAATTAATGTATTACTTACATTACAATCTATAGTTATCATTTTCAAGTATACCTTGTAAACCTAAAACATATTGAAGTTCCTCACAATTTTGTATGACCATTTATCAGATCGTGAAGAATGTTCTTTAAGTCTAGTTTATAAGCATCTATCTGTGGACAAAATATTACATTACAACCAGGACATTAAAAAATAATGATAAACAATTCCTTAGGGGTTTGGTCTTTAGTAGGTATAAAATGAGAGACATATTTTTACTGCCATAATGTTATGAATTTTACCTCTTTAACTAAGTGTTTCTTTACTTTGTTTAAGCATCTACGTAAAATGGATTCACCTGCCAATACCTTAATGGCAAAACTTTTAATTTCAATTGCCAATCAATTTGGTATAGTTACTGGCATCGCAACCAACATTATTCAACATCCAAAATGTGCTTTAATACAGAAGACACACTCAGAAAAAGCAGATTAGCGTCCCTCGCACTGCCTCTTCACGGATCCAGAATTTTTATTTTTTATTTTATTTTTTTTTTTTGGGGGGGGGGGGGAGGGATTAGGTAGTCGACACTCAGCTATTTTAGTTTGGTACTATTATTTTTATTATCATTGTCTAAAGCCTAGCTAAATAAAAAAAATCAATTTGTTCTGAATATGTTGGCCTATATGGTAGGTGAATCCACATTAGGAATAGGAGTTTATTTTTTCTTTATAGCCTGCCATCTTTATCTAAGAGTAAAACAGAATAAATAAATAGACACCCACCTCAGCCCCACCATGGTTGGTGCTGAAATAAGCACATTTTATGAATAGGTCCCTCTAGACGCTCGGAAATGGCACTCTCAGATGGTAAAAATGCTTCTTCAGAGTAGGGCTCCTCAACAAAATTATTGTCTTTTTTCCAACGCGAGTTATGCTGTCCTCCTCTCCTATACACCCTTCTCCTCCAGGGCGTCGCAAACCGTCTAATCAAAGATCTATAATATATTCTGTACAGTGTACTGGGAGTCGAAAAGCAAATTATAATTATGGGACCCCTAGATGCCCGGAAATGACACTCATTCAGACTTGAGTATTTTATCTGCATTTTTAAAATTTTGGCAAAATAATGTAGGGGTCCTGGCCGGATGGGCAACCCATCACAAATACCGTACTCGCGTGAATAAGAGCCCCATTTGAATAACCGTGAACATTTCCTTAAGCGCCCCGTTTAATAAAGCGCCCACTTCTAATTTGAATAAGCAACCCCTCAATAATTTCATAAGATTTTCTTTTTAGCAAGTCAATAATCCAATCAATCCTGGGACTGTATTTGTTGGCATGATTTGAGCTGCAGAGTGGAAACACATTCTTCTTAGGTCAATATCAAAATGAGGATATTTCTCTTGGACTGATGAGAGCTCCGATCCCTGAACAGACAGTATATTTCCAACTTTACTCATTTTACATATTTGTCTATGCCTAGTCGTACTCCTCTTTTTCTTTTTCCGACCTTTTATAGCACATTCTCATCTGAGTTTTCAAGAAAAAATACAATGATCCTGCCATCCAACTAATCTCAATCGGCCGATGACCAACAAGCTATCCACTAGCCACCACCACTAATTTTGCTGTTATGTAAACATTCACGCCTTCTTGTCATGAGCCATGTTCTCAGGACGATTACCATTTCCGCCTAACCACCATTCGTAATGTCCTTGAAATAATTTGTTTTCATTCATAAGTGCCTCTTGAATTTAATAATCTCCCATAAGAACCCCTCGATTTTCATCTATTTCCATAAGCGCCCCCTCAATTTCCACTCTGTTTTCATAAGCGCCCCGTTCAAATAAGCGCCCCGTTTGAATTAGCGCCCCTCAGAAAGTGCAAAAAAATATTTTAAGCGCCCGGGCGCGCGGTAGATTAATATATGCCCTACAGTCGATAATAATAATAATAATAATAATAATAACTTTATTGAATCGTACACTTTTATATCAGTGGCACACACTATCAAGTGGTGCGTTCACAATAAAAACATTCAAACAATACAGAACGTTATAACCGTTACAAAAAAGCACAGTATAGTAAGAAAACACGTAGGCCTACAATACAAGAAAAACAGTAAAATGACAATTATTTAAGTACAAGTTAGCATTGAAAAGAGCATTAAACTAATAAAATTTCAAATTATGGCAGAAAAATGTTTGAATTATTTGTTTAAAAGACGAATATGCACACCGGAAATAAAGAGTAATTACTGTTTAAATTCTTAAAACTCTTTTAAAATATAAGTGCAGGTATTTAAATAAATTAAAAGTTTCGAGCAGTTAAAATAAATAAAATACATTTAAAATATATAAAATTGATAAGAATTATTTTGTTTTTACATTTGCTAAAATTTCACCTCTTGCTTTTCATGCTCTTTTTAAAAAGGACTTACAAGCCATATCAAAAATATTATTGGTTGTTTCGTTTTGTTCATATTCTGCATATATATTGTCGCTGCCTAGTAACATATTCAGTTTTGTATTTAAATAACTACTAATAAAATAGTTCCAAATATCTTGGTGGTTTGTTTTATACAAATCATTTTCAAGCTCGATGTCACTGACACATTATGCTGTTATGTATTAACGAATCACATTTGGTTCAGTGGTGCTACAAAGCTAGGATGTGTTAAGCCACTGAGCATGGTTAGCTGTTCTAGCTGGGTGCTACATTCCGGAAATATGAAGTAAAACCCCTGTCGTAGATCTCCGATTATTGGTCCTTTTTTACATTGATTAGTGAGACCAATACTAAGTCCGCCAATCAACTCATGGGTACACTTCCTTTTTTCTTATTTAATCAATTAAATTCTTCTCAATTGTTTCTATTTCTTGTTTTACTTTTCGCTTTTCGGCGGGACTGACTGAGGAGGGGGCGGGGGTGGGCACGGGCCCTTGTGGCTTCTCGCTGGATCCGCCTCTGGTCACGTGACCAACCTAGCGGAATTTGTCTTTTATTACTGTAAGCCTCGTTATGAATCTTATTTGATACCTAACGCATTAGTGGAAGCTTTTGGATAGCAGTCGTTTGCTACTAGTAGGCATATGAATCTTTGGGATTAGGAGAGCTAAATTCTGGTCTTTTTAGACCGTCCATGCTGTTAGAAAACAATGCGCATTTTTAATACTACTTAGTTATTAGGCCTGGTACCATTGTAAAAGAAAAACTCCGGTAAAGTCAGAGAAATACTGCCTGGCTCAATAAAGATCCTTTATCCTACTAACATTAATTACATTTTTATGTTAAAGATTATAATTACAATTAGGCCTACTTCAAACTTGACCAAAATTTAATGTTATCAAAGCAGGGAGATGTAAAAAATAATTATATTTTACATCTCATAGATCGAAGTACCAAACTATATTTTGATTGCTGTTTTTATAAGCTCTTTTAAAGAGGTTATTAAAAAATTGTTGATTTTATATGCTGTTTTTTACAAATATAATATTTCTTACAAATATAATATGCCTATATTATCATTTTAATCATTATTCACACTAGAGTTGAATTTTATATCAACATTTTACAGTATTGATATACGGGTTTGTTTATTCATAGGTTCCAGTGATGATGAAGTACTGGCATGAATTAGAGGATAAAGGAATTTTTGCAGAACAGCTAGCCCGTCATTTATGGGAAAATGAACTTAAAGCCAGTAAAGATGATGGTGACGACATCTTTGAAGACTTCATTGAAATTATGAAGACATTTGGACTTCTCTTGGAAAAGGTATGGTCTAATGCCACCTAGACGTCAGAGTCTCTTCTCTTTTTACTTTTCAAACATAAAATATATATTATGTGAATAAATGTCGTAGGCCGAATATTTAACCTTTGGTTTCCATTGCATCGCTACACAGTCGCTACAGCGTTTTCACTGCACTCCTTAATGCTTCATGAAGCCTGGCTTCCATTCTTATCACCGAAAATGGTCAGTCGAATGGATGAGCCTTTCCAATTGCTGCAGGGGCTGCTAAACAGTACAACGATTGTACTAAAAACATTGTATCCCGCGACAATGTAGCGTAGCAATTTTAAGGAAGCAGGCTTTATTCAACTGACAACGTCGCCAAAGGAGTCGACGACAGCGTGTAGCGATTTTTTTTTTATGGAAACCAGGCTTAGTTTGGCCATAGAGAAAATAGAACAGTTCTATTTTCTCTATGGTTTGGCAGATTGCCGAAACCCAGTTTGCCGAATCCCTGATTGCCAAGTCCACTTTGCAAAAACACAATTTGCCGAATATCAAATTGCCAACTCAAAAATTGTGAAACCCAGTTTTCCAAGATCCATGTTGCCAAAAATTAAAATAAAAATCAATACTAATATTAACGACAGAACTCGCTCACCTCCAGTTGCTATTTTTAAGACCAATCTCAAAACACATATTTTTAAAATCTGATCATGCACAGTATTGGAAGATTGGTGTTTTTATTAATAATAATTATTAATATTTTGTAATTATTATTATTGTTATTGTTATTATTATTATTAATATTATTTTTGTTATTAATATTATTATTAAAATTATTATTTTTTTGTTGTTGCTGTTATGGTTTTTTGTTATTATTAGTTAACGATGAAGGAACATGAAAGGGTTCTTTGGTCAAAAAGGATTTACTAACTTGCTGTTTCATCGGTTGACGTCACTTGGTACATTAAAAGTCAGTTTTGTTCAGACAAAAACATGTTTTGTCTAAACACAAAGTTCAATGCGCCAAACAGAAACTTTTTTATAAGACTCCTAATCTGAGACTATGGCTGTTAAATTGATCCCATATAAAATTCCTTTTATATAATTTAATCATTATGTTTTCATTTCACATTTTTGAGATAGTGGGGAAATACAAAGGGCTGGTAGTGCTGACAAGAGATCTGGCCTAATCCTAGACTAAATTTAGTCCACCTTCGAGAATACCACTTTCAGATAGTCCTGGTTTAAATCCAGATTTAGTCCAGGACTAAAGTGAGTTCACTTTCGAGAATACGGGCCTATGCTTTTATTTGCATTTTTTAGAAAGAGGGGGAATACAAAGGGCTGGTAGTGGCGACAGGAGACCATTTCACATGCCCTCTCCCCTCCTCCAATTCGAACTAAAATTGTGTATTATTTGTATTTTTAATTAATCATAAATAAAGAATGCATCAGAAGATGGCACTCGACTATTTGTCGTTCCCTCACGGATGAAAACCAAAACAGATAATTTGGAAATTAAGAAAGACGATGAGCAGACAGTATCCATCTATGTGACTCCTAAACACTTTCTCCCTGATGCCGTCTACCATGTCTTGGTCGTTAGATTTGTGAACCTGAGTAAGGATAAACTTCAGTGTGAAGACCCAAAGCTGTATCAGAATCAGGCTGAAATAGGATTCGATCATAAGCATTACCTGAAATTAGGTCGGATATCCATTGATAACAAACAGTCTTTGAAGGTAAATTTTATTTGACTCTTTATTTCTCCGTTAAATCACATTTTGTTACAATAAAACAGCTTTAATCATGATGTTATTGATATTGAATGCATTGAGTTTTAACTGTCTTGCAAATAGTACCGTATATTACTACCTGTGATTTATAACTTGACACTGTATTTACTGTTTCAAAAATATTAAGCTTGAAATAACACGAAGTAGAGAGAAAGAGGCGCATGGTGCATACAAGCCAGCATGTAAACCGGATCCTGATATATGTACAGAGGTAATTTACATAATTGACTGGTTGTTTTTAAGTTACCATGTAAAATAATTAATTCATATTTGATTTTCAAAAAATGGCTACTTATAGTTTATATGTAGTTATTATAAATTAATATATATTATTTTAATATTACAGGTTTTGGATGTTTTGAAGCAAGAGCTGGATGAAGTATATCCATCTAAGAAAGTTGTCGGCTATGCTCTGAAAATCCTTTGCTTAGTCTGTTCAGACACGGAGGAACCACACTTACAAGAACTTGAGTACTGCTTAAAGTCCAAGCTTATGACTTGTGATAAAACAGGGGAACGTATAGCAATGTCAACAGCTAATGTACAGAGGCTGTTTAAAGAAGGTATGCAAGTGGGAAGCCATTGGAATAATAATGTAATTAATGTAGATAATATTTTATTGAGTACATCAATGTCGTGTAATCTTTTAAAATTAATATATATTTAATAAATAATAATTAGATGATATGTTAGATGGGGTTTATTTTATTTCTTTAAGGAACAAAATCTCTAAATTACTTTAATCACAAATTTTAAAAATGAAAACAATAAGTAATAATTGAAAGTGTCTAGTTTATCTTAAATGACATTATTACAATACATAGATATTAAACATACAACCTCAGCTACGGATTCGCCTCATCCACCCTCGGCTACAGATATGCCTCATTCATCCTCGGCTACTGGTACGCCTCATCCATCCTCGGCTACTGGTAGTACACTTCACCTATCCTCGGCTACGGATACGCCTCATCCATCCTCGGCTACTGATGCCCCTCATCCATCCTCGGTTACTGGTAGGCTTCGTCCTTCCTCAGCTATTTGTAGGCCTCATCCATCCTCGGCTACAGGTACACCCCATCCACCCTCGGCTACATCTCATCCATCCTCGGGTGCAGATATGCCTCATCCGAACTCGGCTACGGATACACTTCATCCATCCTCGGCTATGGATACGCCTCATCCGACCTCGGCTACGGATTTGCCTCATCCATCCTTGGCTACGGCTGTGGATACGCTTCAGTTATCCTCGGCTGCAGATACGCCTCGTCCATCCTCGGCTTCGGATACAACTCAAGGGCCTGCATGCTCTATACTATTTTGTGTATGTGCGTAACACTAGTTTACACATTATCAAAAACTAATAACATGGTGTCATCTTAAGAATTTGAAACGAAACTGGATTTCTGAAGAGATATGTTTATACAACAGGTTACATGTAAAGAAAATGCGTTAAAATGTAATACATCAAGTGGAATACAGTAAATGCAATGAATAAGAGGAATAATCATCATTATTGCATTGTTTTACTTGATGTTTCTTGGTTCAAATTATATTTCAAATTATTTATTAAAATTTTATTTAGATAATTACTTCATTCTTAGGTAATTATAAAATTCCTGGTCAAATTATTGTTTATTCAAAGAGATGCTGCAAACAGGTCTGTGAGTGGATAAGATGACATTATAATAATACTAATAATAATAATAATAATAATAATAATAATAATAATAATAATAATAATAATAATAATTGTTGTTGTTGTTGTTGTTATTTACCATGTGTTTATGCTGTGTAGGAATTGCTTGTCAACATAATCCACTCCCGGCAATTGTTATCGATATTTAGTAATGGAATAATATACGCTCATCCAAGCAAAATGATGGTTAAATATTGACACCTTAATAATTATTTTATTTCTTTGCCAGGTGAGGACTTCAGTTTGCTTAAAGTTGTTGTTTCAAACTGGTATGACAGTCACCATTGTCTTGCTATGCTGAAACTGTTGTTCAGAGATCATGTGGAACATGGCGAGCTGGCAAGATTAACTAAAACGTTGGATTTGCTCAATATTTTGTTCAGACTTGATCATCTGAGTTCACGGAAACTTAGACTTCTGTGTGATACAATTAGCATAACCAAACATTTTGGTCTTTCATCTGAGATAAAAAAAAAACTGCCATCATTCCCAGATGTAAAGGAAGGAAGCATTTGCGCAGATTTCACATCTCACAGACAGAAGCTAATGAAATTTGGAATGGAACTGACCCCAACCAATGTGGCGCAGATCGACGGATTATATAATACGCCTTGTAAGAACTATACTGATTGCTGGGAAATGATCACAGATCTAGAAGATAAACTGAAAATCAGTGAAAAAAATATGAAGGAATTCATTGATTCGCTGGGAACCATTAATCTTCCTCTAATGGTATTGAACACACTGACAGAAGGTATTCCTCACTGTTTAAATACCATGACATGGATTTTATGTTACATTCTTTTGTATTTTGAATGTTATCATGAGCAGAAAGACTCACAGTCATGATTAAAGAATGGTTTAGCTAACAGATTATTATCATGTGTACTATTTTATGTATTCGAAGGTAGACCATCATAACATCAATTTTTCACATATTTGTACAGTATTATAACGTAATCTGATCTGAGAAACCATCTGATTTTAATCATTTTAGGTCTATAGGCCTTATCGGCAAATGCTGTGTGGACACCACTGCTCCTTTTGTTGTAAGTAAATTAATTTTTTTGTGATTGTAATATTGTTTTAATGATTTTTCTGGTAATTTTAAGGGCACTTTGACGCAGTTTATATATTTCTATATTTTATGATATAATACGATGAATGATGTAGGCCTATGAAAATAAATTTTATCAGAAACATACTTTGTAGCTGCCTTCTAAAGCATCCAATGCTTTCTTCTTGAAATTGTGACCCCCCCCCCCCTTTCGAACTTTAACAGCCAACGCGTACACTTTTTAATTTACAGCTGGCCGTCTGTGACCGCTTGTAATTAAAGCTTATTGTAATTATAAGATATTTAATATTCTATTGTTTTGACAACGTTTTAAGGCACCCGCAGATTTATTTAAGGTGTGCGAGCAGAGAGACTCACAGTCGATACTTTAAAATACACTAAACGTTGAAACATTAAAACTCTGGTCAATTTATAAAGCATAATCCTGTGGAAGTAGGGTTCACCGCTGGTTTCACAAGATTGTATGAAAAAAACTTTGAAGAATAATAGTCATCGTAATTCAATATTCCTGAAAATTAAACAAGTAAAGTTTAATTTATTTATTAAACATGATTAGCGAAATAATTCTCATTGGATTTTGTTTTTACAGTGCAATTACCTCACTTGTGACGTTGTAAACCAACCGTTGAGATGTCTTCTGAAGACAAACCAACTTACGAGTGTCGAATGTTGCTACATTCTTCATTGATGGAAAAAAATCTGTTTTTTGATAGAGAAAAGGAAAAAATCTTAAATAGAAAGATGTCAATACACTGACATTACACTGACGATGAAATTGATTCGGCACTTCTGTAGATCTTACCCAAAACACTTCTGTGTAACACCAGGTGAATGAGTAGTTATCAAGCTTGTAAATCTTATCCGTATCCATCAGTATCGAAACAATCATTTGGTCCATTGTCCCAACACTAGAATGTCAAACAATTTTGATTAAAACTGACGCAATCTGACAGACTACCCAAAGAAAGCAAGCACTGTTTCCAGAGGAATAAATATTTGTGAAAAATTACATTATGCATGGAAAGCCAGTGTAGCATAGTGATTAAAGTATGTACTTATATAATAATGACGTCAGTACATTTTCCATACAATACATCCACCCACCTTTTTTCCACACGCATATATGCAAAATATAAATGGATCACTGTTAAAAATAGTTGTGTAACATGAATGATTGCAATAGGCCTAAGCATGTACTAATGACTTCATCACAGTATAGACCTAGAGTATACAAGTATAGTGGATTTTTATCCTGGTGGATAACATGTTTGCTTTAAAATCCTCAGGGTAGTGGTTTCAAATCGTGTAGCATCCAATTTTTTTTCCTTACGACTGAAAATGACGTCACTTCCTAACGCTGCTATGCATGAACATTAACTACGTTGTACAAGTTCTTTTATACACCAAATTCAGTTCATATTGTTATACTACCTCAAGGTCAATACATAAATGAGTATGTAATTTTTTTATTCATGAAAATTCGTTACAAAACCTGGGAAGGCAAGATAGCCACATAGTCGATTGACTAGTGGCTAATAAGTAGCCTCCCCCTTAATAAGCTTAAACTACAGACCAAAAAAGAAAAAAAACACACACACACACACATCAATAACACATCTAGACGATTAGTTTTCTTAAGGTGTTTAACCAAATAAAAGTGGATTTAGATTATGAATCTACCACTGGTATTAATCATTTTAATTAAATTCATATACCTGTAATTTTAATTGTGATAATTTATCATGTTTAAATATAATGCATAAGCAGTAATAATTCAATGTTGTACATATAATTATGAGGTATGTGTATCAGTAAGTTTGATTAAATTTTGATAATTTTAATTGTTATAATTTTAATGATGTACAATTTTAATATTGTAATATTCATACTGTAAATATAATAATAATAGTGCCTGTCTTGTTTAATTATAATAGCAGTAATAATTCACTTCTGTACATATAATTATGAGGTATTTTTACTCTAATTTGTATATTTATAACAATATTTATAATAATAATATAAATGTGCAACATTGATAATCTCAATCATTTACTTTAAATACTGTAAATAATTTGATTGATAATAATGTAATAAGCTATTAGAAATTCAAATTTATTCTTAGTCGTTTTATAGATTAAATCTTATTTATATATTTATAGTTAATTGTTCAATTATAATTATGACTTTTGAATTGATATAAATCATAAATACTAGTACGTACTGCTCATTTATTGTGGTATTCATTACATTGTTTATGTTTTAAGATGATAAATTATTTTTTTTGGCAAAAATAGTTCCCCATAATTCTAAGCCCGGTTTACAAATTTTAAGCTGTTTTGTGACGTTACATAATATAATTTCTATTGTCCTCGGACTACTAACATTTCAGTGAAGTATTCTATACATAACACTTGCTGGATATTTTCTCTTAGAATTTTTCTCTTTTTTCTTTTACATATATTTCATTTATATATATTTTTTTCTGTGTGGGGGCAGATGGTTGGTTCTCTCCACCCAGGAGTCAGGGGTGGCGCCAGGGGGTGGGGGAGAAAAAGCACAATTCGTCGGGGAGAAAAAATATTATATGTATTCTTTACATATTAGTAGACTCTAAAATCGATTAAATAAGCCCTTGAAACCCCTAAATTGTCAAAATTTTCGTGGGCTTCGTCCCCAGGACCACTTTCGGAACTTTTTAATCGAAGCTCGACCACACCCACTTTGCTTTTGTGGAGGAAATCTGACACCTCTTTGGGGTCGCCGCCCCTGCAAGGAGTAAAAAAAATGAGTTATGGGTCGGGGTGCATGGTCACTGCTCTGAATATACGTCTGCAACAGAACCATTGTGAAGCATGCTGATCAAAACTTAAACATTTATATGCAATCTGCGCATTATAGGCCTAAATGTGTAAATTGTGACTGTATATAAATCGCGTCAACAAAAGTTGTAGTGTTAAATTGTGATGTGAAAACAACATTATGTTTAGGCCTTTGGTTTAGCATTCTACTGCTTCAAAATAGAAACGCTTCATTTGTAACAATAAAATGCATCGTCACGTAATGTTATTTATACTTTTTTGCGTTTTGTGTGATTGGTTGTTGGTGGTTATAATAAAATCAACAAAACATATTAATTATATTATCACAGACATAGAGTCTGTGATGATTATGTATATTTACTTGTTGTAATCACATTTAGTTGATGAATATTTTGTTCAGGCATTTAAACCATGGACATGGTCCACGTTTAAACTATTATTACTATTATTATTATTATTATTCTTATTATCTTTGAAGTTAGGCGCATAATTTATTATTAGAAAAGGAGTGTTTGCATTTAACGTGTAAAATTTACTCTCATTATAGTCACCTTAACATAGCCAACAATATCATCATTGGGCCATCATAGGCGGAAGTAAACTTTATCATATGTTAAAATTTTAAGGATTGCACGCGTCCTGATGCCTGATTCATGGCCCATGGTAGATAGAAGCTCATTGTTATAAATCATAGAGGTAAAGTGGTTATTGGGTTTTATCGTCAATACACTCATAAGCGTACTAATTTGCATGATGATAGACAGCAAATGAACCAAAGAAAAGCGCTTATAAAATTGTATTTCGATTGTCCTGTAAATACCGGGGTCTATGATGTCAAGTTTTGTTCTAATCAAATTGTGTTTCGTGAATAGCCATCTTTTCAAGTCATATGGTGTTAGCTTCCTGGGATCACTCCAAATGAATAATTCTAAAATATGTAAATATGTACACGTTATTTATATACATATAATTTGGTAATGAATTAAATTCTGTACAATTTGTAAGTGACTCCTACTATAGGTGCTCTGATAGAAACCTACCAATAACGTCTATCAATAAAAGTAGTAATAGTACTGTAATATTAATAATGATGATGATGATCGTGATCAAGATAATAGGTAATAATAGGCGCCCTATTAATAATATTAAAAATTTGGCCTGAGAGGCAATTTAATTTGGCACGGGATTTGATCATAGTTATTATAGTAGTTAAAGCTTAGTAGGACTATATTAAGGCCTAGGCATAAATTGTCCTAGATATTTAATTAGATCTCTATGGTTGCTGAGAATCCCTGATAAAAAATCATGAGAAATTTGTTGGCGCTTCATTTAATGGTGATGTGATGATGGATTTTTCTATATAAAAGTGTCATTTGCGGCCATCTAGAGGTACTATTTCCTCAAATTTTCTCACCTCAGCCCCAACCATCGGAGGCTGAGGTCACGGTAAAGCGGTATTTTAGTAGGTAAAGTAGCCTACATTCATAAAGACAGTGTTTTTAAGCTTTATTATGGTACATCACATATTAATAAGACCTCTATGGTTGCCAAATATCCCCAATAAACTATCATGAGGCGCTTTATTTTGCTATGCAGATGACTAAAAGTTTCATTTCTGGCCATCTAGTCAGTGCATAAATTTGTTTTCATGATGTGATATCTGGTTTTTTCATTCCTATTTTTCGTGATTATGACTATTTTGGATGAAGAATATTTTAAGCAGTGGCAGATTCAAGACTCCCACCCACCTACATTTTTTACATTTTTTAAGGGGGAAAATATATTCAAATTTAAGTCTGAGAGTGTAATTTCTGGCCATCTAGAGGTGCACTAATCATAATATTATGTTCTTACTTCAGCACCAAGCCATGGTCAGTCTGTGAAAGTCCCTCTTTTGGCCGTCTCTCGAATTCCTGGATCCCCTTCTATTGAGTTATTAATTATTATTATATATTATTTATGATGTGTCTATTGTAATTTCTCACTTATCCTCTCATCCTTAAACGTTCAGAGTGCGCTACATCCCAGAGGGATTTCCACCTGTACCCCACAGGTGGCGTCCCCAACCGTAGGAAGGGGAACAATCTCACCCCTACTCGGTACCACGCACCTCACATAACGCCCCCCCCCCCTCCCTCCCGCCCCTTTCAGAGTCCTGCCTACGTTCCTGTATAAAGAATAACTCCCAATGTTGATATTAATTCTTATTTAGTAAGCTGTGCTGAATTTAACATTATCCCAGCAGTTAAAATTTTAAGGATTGCATGCATCCTGATGCCTGATTCATGACCCATGGTATAGAAGAACCCATTGTTATAAATCATATAGGTACAACGGTTATTGGGTTTTATCGTCAATAGCATTTTGTAATCGTACTATTTTGCATGATAATAAGCAGCTAGTGAACCAAAGAACAACGATCATAAAAATATATATCAATTGTCCTGCAAATACCGGGCGGCTCTATATGCTGCCAAGTTTTGTTCATGTGTTTTGTTCTGATCAAATTGTGTTTCGTGAAAAGCCATCTTTTCAAGTCATACGGTATTAGCATCACCCCGACTTTTTTGTCGCCAAGTTTAATCTTTGTATTTTGTTCTGTACATTGCAGTGATTCGTTATTGCATTTATACTTCACACTGGGAAAATCAAATATTGGTGTATCAATCAGACTTGTTCGCGATTTTATTGTTAATAAAAGAAACAATCTAAATACAAGGCATTATTTACATTATGTCATTAATCTAAAACATGATGTCGCCTGCTCATTATACTAGCCTCATTAATATTTAACTAAAGTTTGGTAATTATTAATCTATATAATAAGATAAATTGGAAAATTATTTACCATACAGTGGCAACAACATGCAATGGTCTCCTTGACAACACCTTAGGAAATAGGAGTCTGGGGACTTGCATATCTGGAATTTCCATCCCCGGGCTACCCCCCTCTTAGATCTGCTTGCTTTCAATTCGTATACCCCGAGCAAATACTGATAAGTTACCGTACTTTTTTGCTTGATTTAATATATTTGTATTTATCCGCTCTGTCCACACAATCGAATTTTCTTTGACAAAAACTGTTGTATTCCCATATT